CAATTTTGATTTTTTTTTTGTTTGTCCGGATTATTTTGGTTTATTTCATTTTTCTTATTGTGGAACACGTCTGTTTCCTGGAGCAGAGGTTTGGTTGGCCAATCCGCCAGCAGGAATCTGATGATGTCACAGGGTGAGATAACCTACCGTTTGTGTTCTGGTTCAGACTCTGGCGGCGCTCCCAGACCAGGACTCCTTCTACGACGTGACGGACTGTCTGGAGCAGCGTGGGATGGAGGCCATTGTCCGTAAACACATGAGCAACAAGGCGACGGAACCGGACCTGAAGGCCCAGTTCTCCACCTATGAGGTCAGTTAGCTGGTTCTGCTTCCTGAATACAAACGGGTTTAGACTCAGAGGTGGGCGGAGTCACCAGAACTTTGCTCAGGAGCAGCGATGCACTTGGAGGAATATGAATGAAGTAAAATAAAAAGTCCAGAAAAGTTTTTTTCCTTAAATGAGTTCCTTTCTGATTTGGTATTAAATACTGACAGGGTCATCATAGTGGGGGATTTTAACATCCATGCTGACATTGAAGGCGATAGCTTAAGAGCAGCCTTTAATGCTATCTTAGACACTATTGGCTTTGTTGAGAGTGTGAATAGTCCCACGCATTCTCATCTTCATACTTTGGATCTTGTGCTGACATACTGCAGCGCCCCCTGCTGACCGGACGGTGTGTTTGTGTTCACAGACAGCTCTGCGGTACGAGGACGGAGACGTCGACGACTCCGCCCCCAAACCCCAAAAAGAGAGAAGAAAGAAGGTCGGCGCCAACCAAGAGGGCCGGAGGAGTCGCCGCTCATCCAATCAGAACCTGCCAGACCTCCTGTCCTCCTCCCCCACCTCTCTCGTCGTGTCCCCCTCCTCATCCACTGTCCTCTCCCCGTCCTCCACCGTATCCAGTCCCTGTCTCACGCCCACCCTCGGCAGCAGGCCTTCCTCCCCTCTGTCCTCTGGACTAAGCAGCTGCGCCTCCAGCCCGTCGGGCTCCCGGAGGGGCTCCCCTCTGCCCCCCACTATAGCCGTCATTAAGGACTTGTCCTCAGAACCAGAGTCCAAGGCGCCTCCCAGCGGGTAAGTCCACAGAACCGCTCGGTACTGGTCAGGCTGGGAGATACACTGGCTTCACTGGGTTCTTTCTACATCTCCAAGTTGTCTGTCCGCTTTTCTGTCAACTTGCCTCTGGTTGTTTTAGACCAAGTGTCTGGTTCTGGCCCAGTTCTTTGATCCTTAGTTGATCTGAAAAAGCAGCAGCCTGGGCCGTTACCATGGTAATGCATGAATAATCACCTGGTGAAACAAGTTGAGTTTTTGAACTTCAGCGTTTGCAGAAGCAAACCTTCAGATCTGAGCTAGCATTGGAGTTTGGACCTCGGTTCTCTGAGCTTCTGATCCAACCAGCTATGGACAGAAATCTGTTCCTCTCATTCTCTCCATGGATCATATTCAGTCCAGTGCTCCCAGTGATGAGACCTGATCTGGGACCAGAACCTGTCTGGGACCAGAACCAGACACCTGATCTGG